GGGGAGGTGGCGCTCACGCGGGACCCGCCCACGGGCCGCCCCAGGGTGGGGAGAGGGACCCGCCTGCCCGGGGTAGAGCTCCTGGGACCACCCCCTCCTATTTGGCTGCACACCTGGCCTCCCCTTAGGCTGGCCCCAGCCAAAAGACAGACCAGCTTGACCTTCGTTGGTCCCCGAAAGTGTAATTTCAGTTTTGTACTGGAAGAAGTCGTCTTTATCTCAAAGTCGGCACGTCAAAAATCTATCCCTTCCCATCCAGGCATCCCAAACAGAAATGAAATAAAACCGGTTCCTTCCCTTTCTTGGATGTCACTACCACCCACACACACACACACACACACACACACACACACACCCCCCCCCTCCTCTGAAGTCAGATAGCCCCCTATCCCTCTCTCCCAGTCTTTCTGCTGTCCAGATTGGCCCCAAGGCCTGTCACCCTCTCTGCCTTCCTAGACACTTCTCTCCTGTAAAGCAGGCTCTCACCTCTCTCCAGTACAGCCGGTTTCCCTTCCAGATGGGTGCGCCAGGGTGACCTTCCACCCCTAATGTGCAATTCACTGAGGTTTGGAGCGGAACTTCTACGCTGGGCCTGTGCTGGACTTTGGAAGCCCTGGACAGCAAGAACCTGAACAAGAACAGATGGGCCGTGTGGTAGGATTGGCCCTGTTGGGATCTCACCGCCCTGTCCTGAAACAAGGGCTGCTTGGAATTATGGTGTGATCCTTTGTGTGTTCTGTCCCCTTCATTTCTGCCTGCCTTCAGAGCTGTTCTGAACACTTCCTGTTAGTCTGCCAATAGTCTGCTTAATCCAACCAGATCTAGTCTGTTGTTTGCAATAGAAAGCCTTGACAATACGAAGTGGTGTCCCCACCGGCCCATCAGAGCGCACAGGCTCTTGCATTTGTGTTCCCAGGGTTGCTTAGTACATCGCCACACTAAACCTTGTCAGCTAATCCTGTCACATCTGTCACTGAGCTTGTGATTATACCCTAATGTCCATTCTCCCGTTCTTCCCTTTTTAAAAAATTGTGGCCTAATTAATGTGCAATAAATATACAGACTCTAAAGATTCAATTCCATGAATTGAGAAAACTGAATAGACACTAGGTGCGAACACCAAAAACATGATGTAAAACATCCTGGACTCGGCTTAAGCCAGCCCCAGCCAAAAAAACTGCCCAGCTCTACCTTGGTTGGCCCCACAAAGTCTGTTACCCCAGAAAGTACCTTCATTTCCCTGTTTCGGCAATCCCTCCACACCCCAGAGCTAACCTCTTTCTGACCATTATCAACAGATCAGTTTTGCCTGTTCTAGACCATGTAACTATCATAAAACATGCAGTCTTTAGCATCATTTTTTGGCTTAACCTATTTTTTAATATTCATCCTTGTTATTTGTAGGACTACACAGAGTTCTGTGGGCCCTAAACATTTCATGGGTCCCTTATTTCACTTAAAAAGCACATATGTGAAAAATGCTATCTTAAGACTGTGTTTCTGTGAAGCTGAATGCAACAATATTATGTAGTGACCATTTTCTTTAATCTACGAGTTCCTTTTCATGGGACAAATGGATCAGCCAAACACCTCACTTTACCAGCACATTTAAACACTTCTATTGATGAACATTAGCTTTGTTTCCACTTTGAGGTTTTTCTGAAGAAGGTACCTATGAACACACCCTTGTACCAGTCTTTCTGTGGGTATACCTCTTAGTTACATACCCTGGGCAGGAATGCCCAGAGCTTTCTCTGAGGAGACAGACAGTAGGTGAACGGACCATCTTATATGCCCTTCCACTTGATATCATCAGTCTTTTAATTGTAGCCATTCAGTGGTCAATTGACCCTCCATGTGTCTTTTTGCAACAGAGCCCTTAGTTTTAGTACAGCACATACCTGCCCAGTTAGAGTCTCTATTTCCCAGCACCATTACAGAGCTGGTGTGACTGTGTGACAATAACTGAGCCAGTGAGAAGTAAGCAAAGATAATAGGTGCAAAGTTGAACCGCATTTGTGTGTGTGTGTGTGTGTGTGTATGCGCGCACGCGTGCGTGTGCATGTACATGTGTGCGGCAGTACTAGCAAATTGAATCAAGGGCCTTCACTCTGCGCTACATGGCCAGCTATTTTTAAATTTTTTTATTCTGAGACAGGGACTCACTAAGAGGCGAAGTCTGGGCTCCAGTTTTCATACTTGTAATCCCCCTGCCTCAGCTTCCCGGAGTGCTGGGATTACAGGCGTGTATCCACACACAGCAAACTTGCATTTTTGTAAGTCAACTATCTGCTTTCCTGTCACCTCCTCCTTTCTCCTTTCCCTAGGTAGGAAGGTGGATATGGGCCTGGTGAACTAGCCCTGTCCTGGAAGAGAGAAAAAGCAGAGCAAGAAACTGGAAGCTGAGCCTGTGGATGGTTTTATAGAACAGCGCTACCCCCAGCCATGTACCAAGTGGGGACAAAATAACTCTGACCTTGTTGGAGCCACTAAAGGTTCACTATAGCAGCTTACCAGCATTTTTCGTAACATAAGACCAGTCTTATCAGTGGGCGTTTACTGATTACCTACTAGGGCAGGTTACTTTTTCATGGTGGGTATTTACTGATCACCTATTGTAGGTAGATACTGTACTGAACATTATAGTTTTTAATTTTTTCCCCCAAGACAAATCAGATGTCAGACACAGTCACTTTCACCTGAGAAGGTAAGCTATAAATACCTGGGAAGTTAAACGAAGTACCCATTAAACAATATTATTACCCACCCCCAAAGCTTTCCTGGGACGGTATCTCCTGCTAAACACCAGCAGGTGTACAGGAAAGAAAAGGGAAATCAGAGCCCAACACAGGCCCAGGGGTTTCCTTCTGTAATAGCTGGCATTTTCTCATCAAGGTGCGGAGATGATGGGATGTGACCCAGGTTACCAGGGCAAGAAGGCCATAAAACTTCAGGGAAGCGGGAAGGAAAAAGCAGAAGGAAGAAAGGAAAGGGAAATTGAGGGGGGAATGCAGTAGCACAGAAAGATCCGGACACACAGGATTTACAAGGAGGCTTACCTTGGTCACCTGGGGAGTCAGGTGTGGTAGAGTACAAAGGGCGGTCTGCACACTGGAGAGTCAAAGGGTCCAGTTGTCGCGAGCCGCAACGTCAGGATCCTGCCAGCAGGTCCCAAAACCCGAGGGAAGGACAACAGGAGAGAAACCAGTCTCACGGACTTAGTTCCAGGCTCATGCTCTCTTAGTAGCAAAGCCCTGTTTATTTCTCAGGGTGGGGTATATATAGGCTAAAGCCGAAAACAAAAGTGTAAACAGGATGTAGCCGACTACAAAGGTCACAAGGTTCTACAAAACAAGTATTATGGGTTACATTTGCTAGGCAACAGGCCAGATCACCAGTTGAACTAGCCCGTTACTAGGGGCGACAGAACATCCGTGCTGGCGAGGTGACTCAGGGTTCAATCATGGCTGTGCCTATGTCAAGGCTCACCATAAAGGCTCACCATATCCAGTCAGAAGTAGAAGGCCTGGCCTTGCTGCAGAGTCTCATGTCAGTCAATGTCAGGAAGCCAAAGGGTCTGTCCTGGAGGACTGGAGATGGAGTTCCAAAGTAACGGCAAAGACTGGAGCTCTTCTGAAGACGCAGAAGCAGACTTCCTTCTTCTCTTCCTTTCTATTCCACCCAGGCTTCAGCCCTATTTGTTGGCGCCACCCCCAGTGGGTGGGGGAGATCGTCCCTCATCCCGAGTCCATGAACCAGACACAACCAGCACTGTGCTGAACCAAATGCCCGGGCCTTTCTTATTCGACTTGACACCACAGGTCACTATCACACTGGGCCAGAAGACCTGCCTAAAAAGTGAGAGTTTGACAAGACCTCTGACTTCCACGAAGTCCCTTTGTCTATCTCACTTTCACTTTCCTATTGGTAAAATGTGAATTGTTGTAGGACGTTCATTTTGCTCCAAGCAACAACAGACAGATTAACGAGTAAGGAGAGCGAATATTGTAAGCACACTTGTACTATGTAAGAGAGACAGACGCTCAGAGAAATCTGAAGTCGGATGAGGTCTTATGATTACAGTCAACTAGGTTAGATTGAAATTAATGTACAGTCAGAAGGATTGGGCCCTCAAGGAAATCAGCACAAGAACATAAAGACAACGGAGTTGTGGCTGGAGGTGAATCTAAAGAGAGCAAGGCCTCAAGATGGAGATGTAAAGTCCAGGCTTGCGTGTCTCCCTAAGAGATAAACAGCTACTGTAATTAGCACCTCCTGGTCCACAAAGTCCACAAAGTCCACGCAGGCCTCAGACGCCCAGGTGGGTGACCAGAGCATCTGAACCCATCCCTTTCCCAAAATGCCTTTGTCCTTTCCCTGTACCCTTGCTACCTGACTCATTTCCCTATTGGATCAATGTTAGCTAAACGGCTAGACTTGCAATCCTATAGGTTGATTGTAATTTGACCCACGTTGTACCCGCTCTGTGACTTTGCTGTATAAATTACCCCTGACAAAGGGCTTCGGTGGCAACCCACTCAGGACCCCTCCTAAAAATCCAGGAGCTGTTCTCTTTCTCCTTGTTTCCGACAAAGCTCTCCTAACTTCTTCCTTTAGTTTTTGACTTCATTCCTCAATATTGTGCAACTACGAATTAATTTATAAGGAAAACAGGTTTATTTAGCCCAGTTTTGCTGGCATAAAGTCTATAAGCAGCAAGCATGTGCTCTAGTAAGGGCCTCTCGGTGGACAGTGTCACAGTGAGCACACGAGGAAGAGACCCAGTGATGATGAGGAAGGACAGAAGAAATAAAACTAGGCCAAAAGGTGACAAAAAAATAATAGATTAAAAAACTGAAAACCGCAGCTAGTTTAGTTTCTTCTCCATCTCTTTTACCCTCTCCCTCTCCTTTTTCTTTTCCTAGAACATAGGCCTGGGCAATTCCCTTTCACCTATCTTTTTGTCCTATAAATAAGGATTTGCCATATGAATAGGCCACCCACTCCCACCCTCTCCCACCCACTAGATCAGACTGTAAATATTGTTGTCAGATTCTGCAGATTCCCACCGCCCAAAACATGCAGAGACTCCCAGAGCCCAACTGTACAGTGTCTCATTTCCTGAGGGCCTGCTCTTCATTCTTGAAGACATCCTACACTCTCTACCTAATAAACCCCTCCAGGGCTTCTACCTGATGTGCCTTGAAGAGTCAGCAAACCTGCAAACTTACTGTACAAAAGGGAGGGACAGGCTCCTTTGTTCAGCCTTGGGAACCTCAGACCCAGCCCACTGACAGGAAGCCAGACAGCAGGGAGGACCGGTATCCTCTGTTAGAAGGAGCTGGCTCCCTCTTGGAAACTGTGTGGCTTCTCGCAAGAGCTGCATTAAACTTCCCCTGGATGCACGGCTCCCCCAGTGACCTAAGGACTTCCGGCCAGGCCCCACCTCTTGAAGGGCCCAGACCAGGAACCAAGCTCCCAATCCATGAAGCGCTGGGCGATGTGGCACATCCAAAGCACAGCGCCCACAGGGGAGCAGCCAGGCCCTGATACCCGGCTCACTCTGCCTCCTCCCTGAGACTCCTGCTGGTGCTCCCCACTGCTGTTCAGCCGAGAGCCAGGAGGAAAGAACAGATGTGAGATGACACTCCGGGGTGGACAAACTCTGTCCTCATTGATTAGCCCACAGGTATTCAAGAACATGTGTGCTTCTTGGGTTTTTGCAATGGAAAGCTATAAATAACGCAGCATGACTAAGAAGATATCTGACTGGGCACAGAGGAGTTGGATTTGGTAGAGTCAGTGTCTGGAAAAAGATACTGTAATTTTTCTTCCTCAAAGCACAAATTCAACCGTGAGTTGCATTCAACAATGTCACTGACTTCCTGTCCATAGTAAATAGTTTCCCTTTTGACAGTTGTGAGAGTGGGGAGGTATTTGCACATGACACAGTTCCTGCCCCTTATTTCTTCTTTTATTTTATTGATGAAGAAAGTTAAGTCCTGTGTCTGTTAAACAGATGCTCTAAGATCACAGAGTTAAACTTCAGTGCCCAGGACAAGAACTTGAGCACCAAGATCAATGACAAAACTCATTACCAACATCTACATAGTTCTAGGTTCCTTTTCAGGAAAGCGATTTTTTGTTTGTTTGTTTGTTTGTTTGTTTTTCCAGATAGTATTATATTTGCCATATCATTCAGGTCCTGAGCACTTCTGAGTGTGTCTCTCCCTGAGGAATTACTGAGGAACTAACTATGCAAAGGCCAATAGTATGGCTGGTTTCCAGGGTTAAAACGCTGTTCTGAAGTAGAGGGAGGGAAGCCTGGTCCAAGAGTCAGAGAGAAGAGACTGGAGAGACTGGCAGAGACCTAAGAAAATAAGTCATCATTTACAATAATCATTTACTTTTAATCTTTAAGAAAATACTTCATTCTCAGCCAAATATAAGTGACTGCCATCCAGGATAATTTTAATTTTTTACATCTAGTAAACTTGGTATTTTTCATTGTATTTTAACAACGTTCTTCTATTAAAGGGAGTGATGCGTTATCCTAATTACTAATAGGACATTTATTAGTACTCATTATCGATAGATTTGATAATGTTTCTGAGGGGTGAGGTTCAGTAGGACAGCACTCGCCCAGCACATGTGAGGTCTTAGGTTCAACCCCCAGGGCCACCAAAGACATAATAAATAAAGTTTATTAGAGTGAAGAGAAAACAAAAACGCACCAGGTGCAGGTAAAGGTAGCAGGCGCGTGTGACAGGACAGTTCACGAGGGTGGGATTGTGAAGACCAAATTTCCAGGTCACGGTGGGCTCCATACCCCTTACCCAGAATAGAGTAGATGCAAAAGTTCCTTTCTGAACAATTCCATCCTATGTGATAGTTTCCATTCTATGCTTCGGTTCCTCTTTTAGGACATCTCCACCCTGCTTCTGTTCCTCTTTTTAAGACAAGCTTCTTTTTTGTAAATTAGTTATAGCTGATATAGGAATTAATTTAGTTATATCTGATAGAAAAGCTTCTTTTTGGGTGATGTAATCAATATAAAAATTAGTTATAGCTGATATAGAAATTAATTATAATAGATAATTATATATCTTAATTAACAAAAATCAGATAATCTAATAAAAAGAGGAATTAATTCTCTAATGAAAAGAAGAATTAATTCTTGGATGAAAAGAGAAATTAATTCTCTAATAAAAAGAGGAATTAATTCTCTAATGAAGGCCTTAGGTAACTTTCCAATACGTACCCTCCCAGCACCCCATGATAATTTTACAAATATAAACATTAGGTCATGTTCCAATGTGCCCTCCCGGTGCCCCTTGATTACCTAATGATAAGGAAAAACTAAAAATAACAACAGAAAAATCCTATATAAACGTGGTTCAAAGTTGGATCTGGGCTCTGGGTCTGAAGCCGCTGTGACGGTGACACCTGAGAGTCCAGGCTCGAGCTTGCAATAAACTCCTCTTACAGTTACATGGGACCTGACTCCTTGGTGGTCTTTGGGGACTTCGTGGCGGGCATAACAGGATGGGAGTGAAGTTGGGAACGCGGGTTGGCCAGGCGCTTTTCCATGCACCCCCCCAGACCACTTCCGGAGCCCCCACGGTCGCCTCTGCAGCCGGCATAGCCCCGTCCCTCGCCCTCTGGCTTCAGGCTGGGTTTGCTGAGGCAGGAACTGGCAGGTGTGTAAGGTTAGGGTCCCTCTCTCACCACCACCCCCACCCCTCCTTACGGTTCGCTGCGGGGGGGGGGCTCTACCGAAAGCCACCGCCCATGACAGTGTCCCTCACGGCCAGAAGGTCTCTCAGGTTCCAGTATCCACCCGTCACCCCAGCCCTCAGCCCCAGGTGTGAGCATGGCGTCTCTTCCGACAGCACCAGGCCTGGATGGTTTCCCACACCCTCCCACCACTTCCCGCTCGCCTGCTATCCAATCTGAACTGCTCTCCGTTTCCGCAGAGACCTCCCCATAAACCCGCTAAGGTGGAAGCAGGAACTCCAAAGAGAGACCTGAGCAGATCTGAGTCCTGACAGCCACACACCAGCTGAGTGGCCCTCAAGAGGCTCCTGGGAGAGGCACCACAGGGCAAGCAGCCCTGCTTCAGAAGCGTTCGGTGCTGAGCAGGGGTGGAAGGAGACTATCTGCACCGTTGGATTTCTCCACGGCTCATCCGTGAGGCTGAGAAAGGGAGCGAAAGGACAAAC